GGCGTGTTCAGTGACTGCACGTCCACAAGCATGACCTTACACTTTGTGGGTGCAAAGTGCATACCAAAGGACGGGATGACTTTGGTCAGTTCATCCAAGAATACTTGCGCCTTCTCCTGCTCTTCGAATATGAGATCGATGTCGTCTGCATATTCCAGAATGGCAAATGTTATAGCACTGCTTTTTCTCTTTTTTACGCTTTATTTTTAAGATTCTAATTAAAGCAACTCTATGTGGATGTGTTACAACAGCCCGTTCCCCTTTGCCTTGATAAAGACGAACCATGAAAGAAACATTGATCTGGAAATGAAGATATAAACGCAAAATTGAAGGAACGGAGGTTCACTCCACCGCAATACTTCCCGTTCAATTTATGTTTCATATTTTTACGCATCTAACCCAGCAACATTTTCCACTCGGTAAGCCATTCAATTGTAAGACCATACAACTCGTAGCATACAACTAGTAGCTTCCGGGTTGTATAATGCGAGGGAAAAAATGAGAAAACAATCCACAAACGTTTGTTGCTTTTCAAACAACAGGATCACTAACCTCGAATCGATGGAAATCCTAGTGTCGTAGCTGGTAAAATACTACTGATTTCCGGTAAGCGGAGAATGAATAAACCCTGGGATTTCAAATTGAAAACAGTTGCATTTCAACCTCATTTCAAACAAACTGGGAGATTCACAAATGACTTGCAAATCATTCTGGGTAACGCTACGAGAAAAATATGGCAGATTTACCGTGGAAACAGGTAACCGAGGAAGCATCTCCGTGTTTCTGAGTGTGGTATAACTCCTGATGGTTTACGAAGCCCTCGTAAACCTTTCAAACAATTCTTATGATTTGTAAATAAACTTACTCGTCCGAAAAAACGTGGAATTTTGTACTCACTAAATTGCTGTTGCGTGATTCTACAATCCAACTACCTGGGTTTTCTTCGCACGTCAAAATATCTCAAATAGAGGATTGTGGATACACTCGGGAAAAATCGAGGTGTTTTTATCCATAAGGAGTTGCGAAATGGCTTGTTGGCCAATAGATTGTTTCTTTGGGGCTTCTCAAATTCTTTGTCATGCGTTTTTTCCACGTGCTGTGAATTTGCCACGGGTACAGAGACTGGTGGTTTGGTCGATCGATTCAACTGCGCCTCGATCTCCTCGACCGTCAAAATTTTTGACTTTGAAGCAGTAGTGTAACTATTTCCAGCAGTCGAGGATTCTCGTTGTCCTGATTTTTGTTGAAAGGGGTCAGTTGATCGGGGGAGATTATGGCTCAATAAAAAGGAACGCAGCTTGTTCTTCACCTGAAGTACATCGTGTTTCTCTGGGGTTGAAACAGACTGTCCCGAGGCACTCTTGAGTAGACCCAGCAAATGGTCGTTGATCGCACTTGTTTTCTCGTCAGAATTAACGTCCGGCTTGGGAAACAAGTACCGAAAACGACATCCCGGCATCTCTCCACTAGGGGAAGATTGTAGACTGAGGTGACCGAGCGGTACCCATTTGGCTCATATTGGGATTTGTGTTTTAGAGGCCTGAAACATCATCGGTCTCTCTATCGCCCCCATCAGTAAGAGAAATAGGTGGGGTTGCCAGCTTTCGTCCAAAAATTACTGAGTTATCGCCATCCTCATCTTCCAACGCACACCCCAGCTCTATGGTTTCAGTAACCGTAGTCGGACCTTCAGAAAACCATTCGGGTTCTTCTGCAAAATGCCCTGGTCGTTGTCCTCTGTGGCGGTCATGGAAACGGCCTCGGGAGAATTGACCTTCGTTCCTTCTGAGACCCCCACGACCCGCACCACGGAAGTCACGCTTGAAGTCCCCCGGATTTCGGCTCAGTTGCCTTTCCTTACGGCGATAATCTGACACGTTTCCGGCTCGAGTGAAACCAGTGTCACTGTTGTCACGACCTATAGGATAACAAACGTGGCAACCCGTATTCCAATGCGTTTCTGTGAGCCTAAAACGATGGCCCCTGTGTCGCGAGGTCGATCGCACTGTGTTTTTGATTGGGTGCACTTGGATTTCCCACAACCGCTTCTTTGGGGAACTGTGTTTACACGAAACAGTGTGTCATCAACGTTGAGGTCTGAAACCAGAGAATGTTCTTTGATTGCAAATATGGTATCCCACTCATATCGCAATCGAGTGGGCCTCTTAGTATGATCCTGACAAGCAACTGCATCCTTGCAGCTCCGCTCAGGCCCTCGGAGCAACTCCCCCCTCGAAATCTGTGCAGAAGACGGAATCTCAACGACATGTGAACTAAAAAAACACAACAGCCCAATGTATTTTTGTACAGTTGAGTCTAGTTGACCGATCGATCTGGTGCTCACCGATTTTCTGGAGATCTATGTACAGTTGAATGAAACTTGTGGAATGTTTGGAGTCTTCCAAAGCGCCAAAGTAGCTTTTCAGCTTCTCAACGGTTTTATCAAAGGTTGTCTTAACTGCGCGCTCACAACACAACAGTCTCCCCTCCGCGAAGTGCACCATTCATCGTGGAAGAACGTCGCGATCTAGAATGCGACTTTGTAGATGCAGAGATGGCTCAATGGTTAAGGCGCAAACTTACTGAGAGGAAGTCTCGTGGTTCGGACCCAAGCTCTGTAGCTCAACTGGTCCTGTCGATGCCTGAGCGAATTGACAGAGTCTCGGTCACCGCGCTTTCTTCGGATGGTATGACAGCTAAGCACCCAACGAATGTTTTTGTAGATGTGTTATTATGTGATTTCGGTAGCACGGGGAAACTTCCATTACGATTCATCTCCGATTGTACAAACCCTCCAAAGTTTTCTGTGGTTTTCAAATTCACCCATCAAAGGGAATCACCACAGTTGAAACATCCCATGTTATCCGCGCGAATACTTGCGGCTTGGCTGACATTTTCGTGAACCATGAGCAGGCTAAGACACTGGCTGATCGATAAGCAGGCCATTTGTTTGAACATGTCAGGGTCGCACGGCAAAATCGAGGCGGCGAAACTGGAGGACAGGGTGAAGCGGAGCAAGAGTACCCAAAATTCTTAGAACTCACACTAACGTCGCAATGATAATTGGGGCTCTTGGTTGCTGTTGAAGGTTGGCCACGTGAAAAAACCTGTTTGTTCGTAATGGCATTGAGGAAGACTACTGGCGAACTCTACATAGCCTATGTTGAGCTAACATATCACGTCAACCGATGTGCTACTGTACTTGGCGGTTCCACTGAACTCGAAGCAGAATAGTTCAGTCGCTATTATATTCGAGATATCGCGATACATCTATATATTGGTAATGCACTATTCATAAGGTTGCTGAAAATCCGTCAACAGCCCACGACCGGTGTCGCCCTTTTTGAGGCTCATCAGGTAGGCGTAGTCCCCGGGTTTCCGTCAACCTTATGTTCTACTTGAAACTAAATTGCACGAAATTAGCGAAACACACTCATTTGCAAAATAATTATGTTTTTCGGGAGACTCACCTGGAACCCGGCTGAATCACTCGTTGCCTTGAAACATCACAAACCAAATTAGTTTGCAAATGAGTGTGTATTCGCTAATTTCGTGCAATTTTTTCAAGCAGAACATAAGTTTGACGGAAACCAGGGGACTGCGTCTACCTGATGAGCCCTAAAAAGGGCGGAACCTGTCGTGGGCTGTTGGCGGATTTTCAGCAACCTACAAATATATCAGAATAGATCACCTCACACACGAGTTAAACCGACAACCCGGTTCTTAAATTTGGCTTCATAAGAGAAGACTTTAGGTTGATAAAATGAACGCTCCATGTAAAATTTGCCTGACTGATTTTCCGTAACGGATTCTCATGAGAACACTGACGCGCGTCCGCAGAACTCGATTCGTTCACACAGTCAGATACCAAGGCATTTTTGATAGCGTTATCCTCTACACCGATTCGGAACTACTGCACCAAATTAAATCGAAGGCGCAAGTAAGAGGAAAGAAGAGAATCATTTTTTAATAACGAAGTGTTTATTCATCAAATAATACATTCGGTCCGCCAAGGTATTTTCCCTTACCAACTAGCTGCTGGAGTATCAGTTTCTGTTTCCTGATGAACAGCGGACTGATCCCTAGTGTTTTCCGAGAAAATTGATTGATCCCTTCAAAAATATGCGAAACACCAGGTAGAGGGTTATGCCAAACGAGTTACTGAGTTCCACTCACCTCATGACCGTTGACCGCAGGTCTTGCAACAAGATGTGGATGACACGAAAAAGCCATTGGTGGCGCCATTGAGTCACGTGTAGTTTGGATGATCCCGAATATTAAAAGAGAGAATTGGGTTCGAAATTCTACGGTACCACTTACACAAAAGTGAGCCAACCTCGTCGTCTGCCCACGTTCTTGGCGTCAACAATTGCGCAGGTTACTGTATGTTACTGACCGGCGCAACGCAGTCTCAAGGTCAGCATACTGGACAACGGCGGGAGGAATGTTGACTTCGTAGTGTGGGTTGCGTTCGTCCCTTTCGAGGGCGGTGCGGTAATCATGACAGACCAAGTCAGGGCAGGCTTAGCAGCTGGACAAGAACACACATGGATAGGTATCTACGCGCATTCACTCATAGTGTCGGAAGCTAAGCCTACGGGTGAGGGTGAGTAAAACAAGTAGAGGTTCAAATTACATGGGCGGACTGAACAAAGGACTGGGTTAATTGCCATTATTTGGGAATACGTCACACTATCTGATAATTCCACCTCACTCTTCTAGAACAGTAATCGCCGCTTCTCTGGTAGATGCGCGAAGAACCACCTGTAGCTGCCTGTACTTGGATTTCCGCACTCGCGGTAATCTATTCCAAGCGAACCACATTCTACCAGGTTTCGTTCTCCTTAGCTTCGCCTTATTTCATTCTGTCTACCGGGGGCATAAAGCAGTTGAGATATACCCGTTTTCCTTCTGTAATCCTCATTGGATAAATGTATTTCTGCGTTAAACTTTTTGCAATCTTCCACGTACATGGTAACCAGTCAGACTGAGAATTTGGGTAACTTTTCATGTCACCACGATGTTTTTGTTGTTTCAAGGAATGATTGCACATCGGTTGACTTTTAGGTTAGGCCTCAAATTACACGTGTATATGTCTGCGGCTGGTTAGGTTAGATTGGAGCAAACCTCAGATCCGGACTTTAATTCTGACTTGTGAACACGGATGTACACAAACGGAGATCCCCTGGTACAACTACGCGATGACACCAGCCTTGGAATGTGGTTATTGTCCAACCAATGATCCATTATTGTCGAGTGTTTCTAACCTTTGATTTGAGGTCCGCGAGTCAGAAATCACAACAGGAAGATGCTCATCGCCACCACCATCATTGATAGCAAAACCAGATGGGAACACTGCTGCTTCAGTGCCATACAACCATTTCAATCAATTTAAACAAAGCGTTGTAAGTGAAGGTAAAAAGAAAGTGGGACAAGAAGGGGGCCTTAGAAATTGTCTACAGTAAACTTTACGAGGCGCCTATATCGAAACTGACAGTATAAAGATTACTAACATCGGCTAGCCGTTCACTCTCTCCATTTAAGCACAGACAAGTTTACGTGGACCACGGAAGGGAGACAGAGTCAGTAGCCCCCAAAACTTTCTTAGCGCCCTTCACTCCCTTATGCCATGTCAAATTGTGGCCACCTTTAGGGTTCTACCATGTTGAATTAGACACATAAGAAACCGTGCTCGTCCAGACAGGCGGTGAATCGGCATGTATCACGCGTGACCCAGTCATGATAGCTTTCAATGTTGGAGGCAATCTATGAATAAAGTACCGCCTGCCTCACCAGAAGCCCGTTTCACTCCGGATTTGGTGGTCAAACAGTCGAAACAGTCTCATGTCTTCCGCTCAATGTGGCAGTCTCGCAGCCACACAAGAATACAACCCTCACCGTACTCTGGGACCTTTGAGACCCAACGATATGCGTTTTGGACCAATCGAGTAGCGTGAACTGGCAGACGTAATTCTGGCCTTTGCGTTTGTATACCGATATCGTCCGTCACACTGCCATCAGTGCTAGGCCCGGTGTGTGGAACTGACCTGCATGCGTACAAGCGTATTACCAGACCCATTTTGTCAGGAACATTAATCCAATTCCATCTTCAATTTATTAGCCAAAAATCGACTCAACCAGTCATGAAATGTGACTGAAAGCGCAGCCGGTTTGCACATATGACTTGCTTCCATGCGTTGGTGCAAAATGAACACAAAATCTTGTCCAAATAAGACAGTGATGATAGGTTCATCCGTCCAAACCAAGGAATTCGGAGAATGCAAGCGTGGCCTGTTCTTTAGTCCAGATGTGTGCTAGACTAGTGATCTACCGTAGAGAGCTAGATAATTCCGCAAGTTTTGAATGTGAAGAGTGAGCTTTTAGGTCATCCCTCTTTCATAGCGTCAGCAAAGCGTTTTTCGTGTAAAACCGCACATCACGTCAGGTCTTGTACAATCGCACCAATTGATACTACTGAGGCCCTAAGAAGCATGCTACAAACGTGCGCTCCAAAGAGGGCTGTTTAAATTATGACGGATACTGCTGGCGGCGTGCATAACATCAGTATACAGAGGACACTATGACGATAGTTCAAATCTTAGGAAGAATGGTTCACTGTTCAGCTTCTTCGTATTCCTCGTACATTTGGCAGGTAATCGGTTTTCGCATACAAGTTGCACTACAGTCCGTCACTGGTTTCTATATTATGACAATGAGTTTCCCTTCTTCAGTAGTGTACCTATTGCCACTGAAAGGAATGGGGCTTTAGGAAATGCCAAATGGACAGGGAAGCAAAACTCTCATATGCATCTTGTGTACAAAAACTGTGTATCCATCTTCTCCTGGAACGCGTCTTCCCGAACTTTCTTGGATAATCATTGGCTATTGCTCAAATCCAAGCAAATGCTACAAAGCGACTCCACAAATTCCCTGACAGATCCCACTTTTCAAGGGACGCGAAACGGATTTACGAGAAAACATACTAATCGCATGCCACTCCCATCAGTAGTATCACCGCTACACCACTTTTATGGGAACAAATGTTAAAACTGCTAGTTTACGAAATCGATTTTTACAAAGAACACAGAATTTTATCAGTTGTGTACTTCTCTATGCCTAATGGAATGATCAGACACGGGGACTCAGGTTCTTGGACTTCCCGCATAGTTACTTTCCACCAACTTTAGCACATCGATGGCCGGCGGTTGCCATGACAGTTGATCACCATGTGAAATTTCAGAAAGATTGCTGTGAGGACAGCAAAAGCAGTCGGCAAACTGAGAAGCTGCTTCTGTTGCATTAGTTGAGTCTCTCTGAACTGGAAAGTGTTCAACCGTCGCATAATGAGCGGTTTTTGCTCGAGGGATGATAGGGCGTATCACTGTTGTTGAATGATTTCCGCTACGATGGCTATGAGCGTACTGTTGTCGACGGCATCAGGATGAGTTTTTTGCACTTGAATCACGTCAAACTATTCGGCCTGATTAATTCGGTGAGGTTGTGTCAAGCTTTGATTTGGCAGACAATTACTCAGACTGTTTCCAATGCAGCATGCGCTCAGTAATCCGTGTCGCAAGTACAGCTGAAATTTGAGAACGCTGCTAAGTTATGATCAAGCAGATTGCCCTTCAAGCTGACGTTGGGCCTTTGTCACCTACAAAGATGTGTTCTCATGTCTGTGGCCCCTAATGTCCTCTTGAAAGCAGTGGCCAGCCTATGGTCACAAACATTTTAGGGCATCTGTCGCCTCGGTAGCGATGTCTTCGTTGTTGGGTGATTTTGATGCTCCCACATTTGACAGTCTCATAAATAGTAGCATGTATTTCACCTGGTGCAAGTTTGCGTCAACTCACTAAAGATGAAATGTAGGCTTAGGGTGTCGCTCTTTTGTTGTTCTTTTTCCCTATTGAGGAGGTGGTCCAGACAGTTCAGTGGTTTAGGCACGAATAACCGGAAGGGACGTGGTTCAAACCACACCGCGGACATCGAGAGTGCTTCTGTTTGGGCAAACTGACAGTAGTTCAGCCCTCATTCAAACTTAGCAGGGCACGGCAGCTAGGCCCCGGAAGGGTGATACAGCAAAACAAGTATTTGTTTATCATTATTGAGGAGACTTGCTTAAGGGAATAAACAAAGAATTTTTCTACGGGGAGCCGGGATGAAACCAGTTGCAGAGAAGTACGACATTTTCCTGAAATGATGCACTTTTTACAATTTGAGGCAAAGTACATAAAAGCCCACCACCGATGTTGCCCATTTTGGGGTTCATCAGACAGTCCCCCACATTTCATCAACCTTACGTCTCTCTTGAACATTAAGCCACACGAATTGGCTGTATTTTACATCAACAGATAGGCCTTTTCCTCCAAGTTATACGCTTCCGTCAACATCACTTCGGTAGTTTTTGGGTATCGACTTTGTTTATTTCGTAAGAATCAGCCATAAAGAATGGCTGTTAAACATTCCAACTTGCGGATACTTTTTACGATTGTGGTGAATAACGGAGCCATCTGATGCAGACAAGGGGTCTTGCTTCATCGGTTCGGCGAGCTAGGGTTTTGAATTGGAAACGCTTCACCACCAACCGCGTTGACATCGTCGATCCGCGGTTGAGTGAATTCTTCTTTTGTCTGCGCTTACATAGTTTCCAAACAGTACCTAATAACTTCAGAGAAATCGGTTCCTCCCGGTGTGGCTTCTGGGTAATTCGGTTGGCCAGTTTGCGATCTGGTTTGCATCGTGATCGCATTTCCTTGTATCCGATTGGCTCGCTGGGCGCTTCCGATTCGACAGCTCTTCCCCTACGTCATGGAATGGCCTTTTTCTTATTGCTTTCTTGGTAAAAACGAGACTCGAGTCCCTTTCTTCCCCCAAGGACTCATCAAAATAACTGAGTGGGGACAAAAGAACGACTGTTCAAAGAAAATTGTTTTCTACAAATCCTGTAACTGACTACCACCTAGTTATTGATGTTGTTGTTCCCACCAGACTCGGGCAATGTTGCAAAGACATCGATTGGCAAACACTGAAAGTCTCTTGACGTCTTCGGGGCGCAGTGCCCGGGTTTCTGATCCGTATAATAATATGGAGCGCACCGCAGCATTATAGACTCGACCCTTGACAGAGAAGCTTATGTCACACCTACGCCACAGGTGTGGTTCACAGGTTCATAACAGCTGCTCTAACCTCCCCAATTCAGATGGAAATATCACCTTTCGTGGAACCATCAGGACTGATACAGCTGTCCAGGTAGACAAACTTGTCTACTGCCTCGATCGGCCCATCCGCAAGCACCCAGCCTTACGCTGGGTGTAAAGTGCTACTTTACACCTTGTCGGGGTGAAGTTCGTATCAAACCATGAGGAGGAATTACTTGGATCATTCAATATTGTTCGAATTACCACGGGGTCAGATCCAAGAAGTTCTATGTCGTCTGCGTGGTAGTGAGTCTTCCATGATCGAATCAATGACGAGGTTGAAGAGGAAAGGTGAAAGAGGACAGTCCTGTCCGGCACCGCATGATGTGGCGAACTCAGAAGAGTGGTTCCCGTAGACCTTCACACGGGAGTTGGAGTACGGTGCCTTGAAGAGGGTCAAGAATTTATTGGGAACATCTTTGCTCTACAGACACCCCCACAGTGCCTGACGGTCCATAGAGTCAAAGGCAGCCCTCAGATCAAGAAACACAATCGCTGTTGGTTTCTGGAAGTAAAGTTGTTTTTCCAGAATCTGTCTGAGGGCGAGATATGATCGATACATCCTCTTAGGAGTAACGAAGCCTTCACAAGAAGCGTCACACGTGGTCTTCTCTAAGGATAGCAGCGTAACGAGTGCAACATTTTCAAGTCGCCAAGGATAAAACAAACGAACAATGCTCCTCCGGAGCACTTGTTACTGTTTTAAAACATAACATCATTCTTGACTGAAGAGGAAAAGGAACACAAACTGGGCGAACCTCATCTACAGACAAGCGTTTCTGGGCTGTGCGCCAAATCGTGATTAACCGAGCAGTGCGCTCAAGTCGAGTGATTCACGCAAAAATTAATCTGACTAGAAGGCTTCTCCTGAGTTTTCTCACGCGGAAGAAGTGACTGAACGAGAAGTGTCCAAACTGGGAAGATGAACCCATCAAGAAAAACTCATTTTTTTACTTTTTCCTTCCCTCTATCCTTGAAAGACAGATTAAATTTACTCCTGTCATAGGAATGAACGTGCAAAATTAAGTGCAAGGAACTGAAAAGTTCCTGCAGCTGGCCCGTTCTAGCTTTGAAACTGGCAAATTTGGTGAAATACAATTAGTCAAAAACAGATTTCGTCAACTTTGAAATTACCGACATTAGTCTTCCGGTTACCGGCCAACAGGGTCCAGAGAATCGGATGAGTACTAGAGTTTCCCCGAGTTGCACTGACTACAACGGTAGGTGGCTACAAAAATGTGAACGTCACTCCAATTCAGGCCAATTTTAAAAAAGATAAGGCAGTATAAACGCGGAGTATAATTCCTTACCGGACACTTCAACCATCTGAACAAGTAAAACATAAACAAAGATACTAAATAGTTCAGCCCTTGAAAAGTTATCTTCGTGGCCGTATGAGGAATCACATTTGACAGTTAACCTTAAAATTTGGAAACCTACCTGTTATCATACTGCAAATTATTGCAAGTGCAAGAGATAAAAAGAGACGTCTTCTAAGAAAATTGCTTGAGCTGCAACTGGGGAATCAGGAATCCTTGTAGATTAGTTGTGGGTGTTGGTGGGATTTGTACAATCCGCGTTCAATTCACTGTCCTTTGAACACTCTTCATCAAAGGGAGAAAGCAGTGAACTCGAGTCTCATCTTTATTTGAACTCAGCGCGTTTCCCTGGCCGTGCCGAGCTTTGAACTCCGGACATTTTACATTCGAAGTGGGCATGCAACCATTACTCCACCAGCGCACGTTGGATACACCTGGATTATCACATCTAAACAGGAACAGGTTCATTCACGAGCCCTGTGATTGAGTTACCCGACAACCCGAACAACAGCCCAGTAACTGTCCTGGTCTGGTATTTTGGTAGCACCAAAAAACCTGCCCCGGATGGGGATATGACCGCACAAAATCTGGATGGTCGAGCAATAGTGCTGTGACATTCACCTGACGCCATGTTTGAACTGGCTAGATTCGCGCTACTCACGACTGACAAACCGTAATTTTCATCCATTGGTTCACGGAAAAAACGTTCTTTCGAATAAACAACGCTAACTGGCTTTTTGACAGTCAGCTTCCTAGAATATTTATTTATGTGGGTGATTTATGAGTTAGTTGAAAGACACGCGAAAAACGTGCGCCCTTCGGAGTAGAACCCATTTGGGCATTCAGAAAAACCAGTTTGATTCGGCAGAATTCACGTCATCGATTAATTTTGTTGCAACTTTAACTGACTTACATTGGGAAGATAAGATGCATACATCTTTCCACCGGTTGCTCACCCTTAACTATTCATGTGACGGTTCGCAAAAAACCAAACTTATAAAATATGTGTTTGCACCATGGTTTGCAATTCCACCATGAGCGAAGAACGTCAGGCGCAGGCCTCATGCAGGTGTGTAGTGTGTCTCCAGCTCAGTTTGGACAGAGGGATTCTTTCTGATGCTACCAGTGAAGGTAAGAAAGCCTCCTCTACGGATAGCAACTGAAAAGTTACGGACTATTGGACAAGGAAGCACAACTCTCATATGCATCTTGTTGACAAAACTGAAAGAGTCTTCCTGAACTTGACTGGATATTCATTGACTGTTACTCCGATGCAAGCAAATGCTACAATGCGACTCCACAAATTCCGTATTAGATCTCACTTTTCAAGAGACGCGAAGCGGATTTACGAGAAAACATACTACTCGCATGCCTCATCAGTGGTAGCCACCGTTACACCGGAAGTGATGCCTGTGGCCCATATTTTTTGTTTCAAAAACGAAGCCCCGGGGCCACCGGTGTTTTGGGGTCCACGTACAAAGTATTCGATGCCTATTCTTATTGTTCAAATTCGATTGTTTCATCGAGGGCACCTCAGTGTTAATACTACTGGTTAAGATGTCACCAAATACGAAACATGTCTGAAAGTCTTCAATCAATTGGAAAAAGTTTGGAAGCGATTGAGAAGTCATTATTTCAGAAGAGCTTGGCAAGCAATCGGTAGAGTTTATTTGGGCAGCGTTTCGCTTTTGACACAAAAGCTTCATCAGGCCAAGCGAACAGGTCACCAAATTGGCCAGGTTATAAGACAGACGGGGAACCAATCAGTAAGTCCTCTACAAACTAGATCAGTGTTGAGTGTCAATTAAGAGCTCTTGTCGGTTAGTGTGGGTGCCAAAATCCTGAATTGGTGGGTTGGAGGGGTTCCAAATTAGTTCCCGATCGTTTTTCGTTCCTTAATCTTCCACTTCAGGGTGCTTCACTTGATGATTCACCTCGGGTGACACTGGTAGATTTTCCTTGGTCTTTGTGGGGTTGTGAGTGCTCCGACAATTTAGTTTGAGGGGGGTTGAGGTCAAGTGGATTTCAGATGATGAACACTCTTCCTTCTGATGACCGCACGCCAAAACGTGTCAGCTCGAGTGACCCAAGCGAAACGTTGCCCAAATAAAAACTACCGATTGTTTACCAAACACTTCTGAAACAATGTCTGGAAGTCGTTCTGCAGTGGAACAAACTCGTTCAGAATTAGCCAGCCGATAATATCACCGATAGATTCACCAAATCCGATGACAGTTTCTGCACTAGTGAACACTAAATAAAAACATTGATTCACAGAGAACAATATCTTACGGAAGGATTTATCCGTCAGACGCACCCAGATAGAACACACTTAGTGATCGTGGAAAGTAACAAGTTAACCCCGATCCTTTCAGCCCAAAACGGCTTTCAATTATGTCATTAGAATAACAGTAGTTGGATTATGATCACTTGCCTATTTCTTCACCTCAAGTAGAAAGTTTCGTAGAAATCTGTCTCACCAGACTGAGCTTCATAGAACCTCATGCAGCTCTGTCTTGCTTCAAAAGCAGCCTCTCCAGCGGAGGATGTTATCGTCAACGGCTGTACTTGTCGTCCGGAGTGAAACTTGGCGCCCAAAGACCGAAAGTAATTTCACGGAGAACAGTCTCATTAACAAGGTGATCAGTGCCATTGAGCGATCTCAAGCTAGAGACTCAAAAAATTAGATGCACTCATTGGACGGTTAACATTATATCGCCGCTACGTAGACGACATATTCGTTCTCGCCGATGAAACCATCAGCACAACAGACGTACTAAGCAGTTTCAATTCAGTCCACGCTAATATCAAGGTTACTATCGAATCAGAACAAAACGGGCAGTTAAGCTTCCTCGATGTCAATGTTAAAAAGAAGACCGACGGGACCATAGAACGCAAGGTCCACAGAAAGCAAACGTGGAAAGGTCAGTATACTCACTTTGATAGCTTCGTTCCGTTGCAACAAAAACGCAACCTAATTAGATGCCTGACCGAGAGAGCAATGAAGATATGCTCACCCGAATGCTTAGAAGAGGAACTAAAGTTCTTGGGACGCACATTCCTGCAGAACGGATATCCTGAAAGGTTCGTACTGAAGACTATGGAAGCCGTTAAACCCAAACCTACGGAATTTTCTGTTAGAAAGAAGCCCGTATACATGAGGCTTCCATTCAAAGGTGACTCGGTTGCTGAACTAATCACCAGAAGGCTTAGAAACTCCGTTGATACGACATACTTGGCCGCTAATCTATGTTTGAGCTTCAACTCCAGCCCCACTATCAGATTCTGCTTGAAAGACAAATTGCCACGTTCTACCACCAGCTTTTGTGTGTACTCATTCGTATGCTCGTGCCGAGCATCATACGTTGGTCGTACGACAAGGCATTTGTCGGACAGAATACGAGAACACAATCCCGTATCTCTGAGTGGTAGTGGAAAGAAACCAGGCTCAAGCGCGATTGCAGCACACTTGGCCGAAACCTGTCATATCATAGACAAGGAGCAAGCCTTCACCATCATATACCGGGTACCTCTGAACGGACCACGACTGGTACGATCCAAACTACTATCGATCGCAGAAGCGATAGGAATCCGACTGCTGGATCCACAACTTTGCATCCAAAAGAAACTTGTGCGACCTCTGAACTTGAACTGGCCTACGAAACATCTGGTCCCACAAGTCTGTCTGACATTGACGTCATGACCCATTGACCTACCCCTCACCCAACCCCCTTCCTTTGACTTCTATTTCTCTAAAGTGTAGCCCCGATCTTAACCTTTTCCACGTGATTTCTGCTACCATATAAATTTGTGATGTATTAGCCAAGATGAACAATCACAGAAAACAAGCTTTGTTCGCTACCTCCTTCGTTCTCATGACTACAATGGGTATATTCAGCCGCCTGATCTCAAAGAAGTGGGAAACGACAGCATGCGGACAGGGTATTATGTCTTGAAGCGTTCTCATTCATTGATTTCCCGCAAACTCCTCTGACACTGCACGGTGTACTTTCGTTGATCGAAAGGGTGGCCTGAAAATTCAAAACTGAAGAGGCAGTTACATTAAAGAGTTTTGGGCTATCCGCATTAAGGTGCTACTCAAATGTTGCTGAAATCCCTGGGACAGTCAACTACTGATTTTATCCTTTACCAGGTAGGCCTAGTTTCAAAATCTCCAAAAATATTTTATGGTATTTGAGCACCGATTCGGACCTATTGGTACCTAAGAAGAATAACGCGTTGGTAGTAACTTTTACCCCTTAAAATATCTGAAGTTTACAGTTGTATGAAGTATGAATGACATCTCCTGTGATAAGGAAAATGTTTTTTCCGTTTGAGGCTTTTGCGCAAGCCGATTTAATACTGAAAACGTTGTGGAAACCATTCGGTTTTCGAATGGTTTGGAGACGCTTGTTGCATGTTATCCGCTCGTCTGACGTATGATTAGCTACATGAGAGTTTCCAGCCAAAATCACCAGATAATTGGTCCACCTCTGTTCTGGCCAGTAGTTTCGATTCACATGAATAACGAAGGTATCAATCGATAAGTTTATCCCACATATTTTGGAAGCCATTACCCAGAGGAAATGTTATTATCGCACTCTTTGAAGCGCGCAAACGCGGAAAGGTGTGTAGAGGAACAAAGAGCGCTCAGGGCAAGAAAGGGTAGTTGAATAGTTGGGAGAGGAAAGTCATGAACAACATTTAGAAGAATGCGATTGTATTCATTGTTTACATATATGGATGATAATGTGACTTGAATAGTGGATAAAAGACAAGCTATCTATGAATTTTAGCCAAACAGTTATTCGAAAAAGTTCTATCCAGAAAAGCAATCACTCGTAGTGTACTCGCGTTGCTGGCCTTCAAATTGTTGGACGCCATATTCAGTTTGGATGTCGGATTGGCCTCCGGCTCCTGCGCCAATTGTATATTCATTCGACTGTTCCGGACCATTTCCATCCGCGGACACTCCTCTCCGTGTCCACTTTTCCCCACAGCGAGCGCATTCCGTTTGCTGATATGGTACTGCGCCTGGGACAAGAGTGAAGAACGTTGAAAGGAGGTTCGCATTTTAAGATACGGACACGTTGCACACATGAAGTTGTGTCATAGGGACGACTGAAATCAGAAAGGTCCTATTAGTCATGTCTTCCATAACCTCCTCCTAGAATACGGTGTTTTACTTTAGTTTAACTGGCGACGGATGAGGAGAGGCTCCGACTGTTGAACTGGACTAAACTAAACTAATTAGACCCGGGGAGGAAGTCATCACTCTGCGGGCCAATCAACGCAACCAACCAAATGAGAGCTAATCACATTGCTAATCAGTCGCTCGTGGCCGAAGAGCGAAATATCGCATCTACTAACCGTAGCGTCATGGAGTTGCATAGATGAGCGCTACTGATGATCCTCAATGAAGACGAAACTGCCTCTGGATTTGTCAGGACTACGGCCAATGGTTGCGTTCAACTACTGGCCGGAAGTTGCAGGTTTGGCTTTGTTTTAGTTTTAACTCATCCAAATTACATCCAGCCGTTCCTCAGTGCCACTGAACCACACAAGTTGGTCCCAACCCATCTTGAATTGGTGACTCTTATACCATGTCAGATTCTCCAGCACAAGATATCTCCTCACCTTTAATCGCACCAACGCCCAACATCAACGCCGCCTCTGTTCATCTTCCACCATTCTGGCACCACGACCCATACATCTGATACACTCAGTTTGCCCTTCGCGGAATTACCCAAGAGCATATTATGTATTACCGTGTGATTGCAGTACTCCCTCCTGATATAGCAGCCTATTTAAGTGGCATTTTTTTGCACCGTGATTGCACCAAGCCGTTGACTCACTTACTTGTCGCCACCATTGAGCGCTGTCGTTTATCGGAGCCTGAACGACTGGAACAACTACTTAGCGGAGACTCTCTCGATGGCTTTACATCATCGCAACCGTCGCGACGATTTAACAACTCCATTAGGGACCGCAAAACTGATTAAGTCTTGTTTTGACTGGCTCTTTCTGAAACGCTTACCCGCTTACAATCAATTCTCTCTTCTAGTTCAGGCGTTTCACTCGCTGGACTTGTCAGCATAGCAGATAAGATACTGGAAATTCAATCGTGCTGTTCTAGTATTTCTTCAGTAGATACACCAGCTATTGTGTACACTTTTCACGATCACCTTGACAAGTTAACCAATCAGGTAGAAGCCATTCGCTTATATTGACAGTACCACGAGTCCACACTCGCGTTCTCGACCACATTCACTCTCCAGAGGGAATGCTCATTGGTGGTACCATAGCACCTTCGTACATCGTGCACGCAGTTGCTTCCAACCGTGTTCCTTCCGAAATAACCACGCACCTCCTCAGTCAAATTGGGAATTCACGAGGGTAGAAGCATAGAGGCGAATAAGTTCAATGTTTCACTCGAATCACTCACCGCTTGACAATATTCGATAAGCCTTCCGGCCTCAGTTTTCTAATTAACACTGGATCCGACATAAGCCTTATTTCGTTACTCGCCGCTTACTCCGACCCCGAACCTTATACTTTTACTCTAACTGTCGCCACGGGTTTTTCTATTAGGATTTACGAACAGCGCGTTTTACGAATTGACTTCAGGTTACGCCGGCCGCGAGTTTACGTGGACTTTTGTCCTCGCTGACGTACGCCACCCTATCATTGGCAACGGTGTGCTCACGCATTCCAACATTTTGGTAGATCTGAGACAACAACATCGAGGCTCACCGTCTGTTAGAGACTGATCTATCACTTTATCGTCAATTTATACACTGACAGTTTCTAGAAGTGGCGATTCACTTTATGACGGATTGCTTAATCAATTTCCAGATTTAACCAACTCCAATTGTCGCTAGCCAAATCCAAAACAGTCCGTATTTTACCACATTCATACACGCGCCCCCCCCCCCCTTTTCAC